TGGTTTGTTTTGTACAATGCAGTCATTTCATTCTACAATAGTAATCATTATGTTATTCACTCATTACATATATATTGTGTTGTAGCTACTCCCAAACAATTTGAACAGGCAGCAAGTGTTTCCACCAATAAAATAAAAAGGTATGCTCCATATAAGCTATAAACCATACATATTCCTAGCAAGATTATTGAAATGTTTTGATAATAAAAACAGTAGAGTCATGTATATGCTTTCCATGTTACTCAATGCATTGTTTTGAGTATCACTTTTTTAAAACACCACTGAACTTTCCATAATGGTATTTCATTTTGTTTTCAGAATTGATTTCATCCAGAAGAACTGTTTGAACTGTGGACTGTTTGAAATATTTTTCACCAGCTCAGAAATCCCTTCACAGCCTGCCTTTGAATTTGAAAAGCTGTTTTTAATTAAATAAATTTTCTAGATAAATAATACTTTGAATTTTTAACAGTACAATAGTGTGAAAGTTTGAAGGCTGTTAAGATTTGAATATCTTTACTTGAATATATTCTGACAGGCGCGTAGCTGCCTATACGCATGTGTACACATCGTTTTCAAATTTAAAAAAAATGGGATGGGGGGGGGGAGGGAGGAGGGGGGAGAGATTTGTGAGAAGAGAAAAAATATCAATACCATCCAGCAAATATTTGTGTTTCAAATGATTTTATCTCATACTATTTCGATTCAAATTCAAATTTTATATTACCATGTCTTGATAAAAAAAATTGTAATGTTTTATTAAATCATTGCCACAACCAAATAAAACATTTATTAATTTGTAATTCTTCTACAACACATTGATATATTTTTTTTAAAGATCTTTGAGAAAATATCAACCGTTGAATGTTGTGATCCACTAGAATATGATTTGAAATATAACATTATTTTTGTTAATAATTGAAATTAATTATATTTGTTGCTGAAAGTTAGAAAAGAGTAGATGATACCAAAATATCATTTTAAAAAAATATTCAGCCTCTACATGTACAATAAATTTGCATGGAGCATTTAACTGTGTTAAAAGCAATTTTAAGTACTGTGTCTTGTATTTTTTAAAGAAAATCGAAATGGCATGATTTTGAATGAAATATTTGGTAAAACCCATGAGCTTCCAGGGACTTCGCCCATGGGTTCTCATCAGGGCTTCGCCCTGGACCAACTGGGGGTCTCAAAGCTGACCTCAGCCGTTCTCTGCGTACATTTCACTTCCATTCTGGCTACGCGCCTGTCTGTGTTTTTGGGTTACAAGATCTAAATTTCAGCATGTATATTGTGTTCACCTGTTCTTTAACATAGTATCTGTTTCTTGATTACAAAGATTTACAATGATTATCTTGCTTGCGCATGGATTGATAATAACTCAAAAAAGCCCCCCCCCCCTCCCCCAATGTGATTTGTGCTACAATACCCAAATAAATAAAACCTGATGTAAACACTATTCAATAATTTATTTTTTACATGCAAGTAAGGTATATGGTATCAAAGGAGCCAGAGGCAAACTGGTGATTGGGTGGGGATGGGGGTGGGGGGTGGGGTTTAGATATGTAGAAAGGAAAACAGGTTATTAAATACAGGAGTAAGCTCCCCAATCCCTTCCTCCTGTTCTTAAAACTTTTAACGTAGTCTAGAATCCCTAAACAGTTGAAGGTTTGATAACTAAAATAATCACATAGGTATATAAAAAATAAATAGATAAAAAAAAAAAACTAAGTTCTGTTGGAGATATTTTTTCTGTGTGTCTGCTTGGGGATTGGGGAGATAGCGGCTGTCTATTTTTTATTTCAAATGATTGAATCTTTCAATATTTTTAACCATGGGCATTTTTCAATTGATTTACATGATGGATGTTGCATGTTGGGGCAAATTTTAGGCCTATTGTTGACGAACGGAGGAAATGCGGTAGGTGTCAAATACGTCTTGTGTAGCGTATAAAAGAACGAAGATATACAAAACAAAGTAAATTCAAGAATTTTTTTTATGCATACCGATTTGATTTAATGAAATTAAGCCCAACACAGTCCGTAGGTATTATTTGTTCAAAATTTGCGAGGTACACAAACTGTATGAAGTACCACAGAGTTATCTCCCATGCTGGGTCAATGATGCGTTTGAAAACTATATTTAGAATGAATGTGTTAAGATTTCAATTTTTAATCAAAAAGTGCAAGGGCAAGGCGACAACCCAAGAGGTAGGTTTTTATTTTAAATTCTTTACTTTACTGTATAGTTTTTAAAAAGTGATGCTCATTTCTTTGTAATTCATTAGGCAATTTAAAATTTCCGATTAAATGATGAAAAATACCCTATTTTTGAATACTGGTGTTTGTTTTCAATGAATAACTTAAATATCTCAGAAATCTGACTGAATGAGCATCAGTTTTACTATAGGATAGATACTAAGGGACACAATGAAACATTGTGCAGTTCAAATATTGTTTGCCTTGCCCTTGCACTTTTCTGTTAAATTTGACATTTCATATTTTGACCTAAATCGGAGCTCACGTGACTGTAGAGGGTCACATGATGACAAAAAATACTGAAGTTAAAAGCAATGGACAAACTATTCATAAAGCCATTAAGATATTTCAGATAGAGTTTCATGCTAAAAAATAAGACGGTTGAACTTTAAATGTCTCGTTTTTGGTGCCTTTTTATAGAAAATGTTGCCTTAACTGTACTGCGTAAAATGATGGTTTTCTTTACTAGTGATAAAGTTATAGGGAACTTTAATGATAAAAAAAAACAGCCTTGAAAAAGAAAGTGACAAGTGGAGATCTTCCGAGGAATAAATCAGTCTAAAGAATTTCTTGGATTCAACAAGTGAAAAACAAGAAAATCTTTAAAGGAATATTCATTTTATTAATTAGTAGGGTTTTGAGATTAAATGCAAAATCAACACTAATCTATCCATTTCTCGCATCAATTCTCTTTTACATCTTCTGAAGAAATGTCATTTATAAATTTAGAGAAGTCCCCGTCTGCGTTCATGTTTCTTATCCGTCAGTCAAGATCACAGGTTCCTGAGTAACATGACTATATATATGTATAATTTCGCGTTATAACGCGAAAGCTACGCGTTTCTTCGCGAAAGTTTCGCGTTTATTCACAGAATGTAAGTTCTATTCATTATAATTCATTTAAGAGATTTCCAGACAGCAGTATGTCAAGCATATGGCCTTCAAACCTCTACCAGTTACTATGTGTTTTATCCATGAACAATGCTCGGTTTTCACACGTTCTAAGATTTTATTAAATAAAATAGATTTAAATAAGAGTTAAAAAAAAAAACGTTCTGCTCAAAGTCTTACTTTCACCTCCCCGTGACGAGAAGGGAAAATAGGTCTTATTTAAGAAATAAGGTATCATTTTAAAAGTTTTATCGGGATGTAAATACGGGTTGGACATGTGATCAAATCCCATAAAGCCCGAAGGGCTTTATGGTAGATTTGATCACATGCCAACCCGTATTTACATCCCGATAAAACTTTTAAAATGATACCTTATTACTTATATTTACATTTGTGACTGATTTATAACAGATAGTAAGGTACTAAAGTTTTAAACCCATAAATGATTTATTTTTTTCAAAACTCAACGGTATAACTTGAATGTGTTGAACACGTCGATCACTTATGACGTCACTATGAAATTACGTAGATCGTTTATGACTAAACAATCAATTTATGGTCACATGACGAACGTGTTTTACACAAGTGTAAAAACGCCTTGTTCAAATAGTGTTATATAAGGGAAAACATTTGCAAATGTAAATATCTATGTATATGTTGTACTTTAAATCAATCTGTACATTCATAAACCGCTGGCTAACGAAAGAGGACATGTAGCTTTAATGTATACTTTTAAATGTAGCGGTAATGTAACCTTTTTTTGTAGCGGTAATGAGTATGTAGCGGTAATGACAATTTTAAAAATGCAGCGGTAATGATACGGGGGGAGGGGGAGGACCCCTGGAATTTGCAGTTAATTAATGAATATACTGAAGCAAATAAAAAATAAATTTGACACCCCCTCCCATTAGGAAACGTGGACCCCTACCACCAGCAACATGAAATAGGTTTTACGATTGGGAACGGACTTTTACTTTCTGGGTTTGAACTTTTTTCGACTGGGGTGAACCCCTCCCCCGCCCCCCTGGAAAAAATCCTGGATCCGTGCCTGTGATATACAAATAGAAATATTTATTGGCACAAACACAATTACAATAATTAGCAATGGCCCATTGAACATCATATATGTGTAGCTTAATACACCAGTATACATTTATACGTAATAATCCATGTTTTTTCTTGTAATTAATATAATTTAAAAAAATAATCAAAGATCTGTTTTTTGTACATATTTTCTCAATTGTCGTTTCGCAACTTCCTGGGTGCTCTTTTACAAATATTTAAGTGCCGTTCTGTTTGCATGTTTCTGAAATGGTGTTTTCACCAGGTACCGTTTTTACTTGCACCCCTCAGCATGCTCAGGGGATTTTATTTTATTTTTTATTATTTTTTTTTTGTTCGAGATGTTCATTGCTTATTCGAAGTAAAAAAAAAAAAAGAGAGATGAACAAAAACAAAAAAAAAAAAGAATAAAATAAAATTTAAAAAAAACAGGCCCGTAGGAAGCAATTTCTTTTTGAAGGGGTGCAACCATACATTCAGGAGAAGAACTTGTAAGTTGTAAGAACTTGTTTCTAATCCTTTTGTGTTAAGCAATAAAATATGTTCAAATCAAATCAAATCAACCATACATTTTCAGTTGGGTGGGGCACTATCAACTACCAAAAATTATTGGGGGGTCGGTTCCAAAAAGTTATTGGGGGCCCCGGTTCCTACGGCCATGATATGTATTATGTTTAAATCGTCGTACGATAGAATATCAGATAGGCAAGGCCAGTCTATATTATAGGTCGGGCTCGGTAAAGCTGGAACTGTTTACAACCAATGAAATATTGACAATTAAATCACGTGGTTACTTCAGCGCGAACGTTGAAGGAAATAAACAATGACGACCCGTCTGCAAGAAATTCAGAATTCATATGAGCATAGGTAAGCTATATGATGTGTAAATAATCAGAGGTAAGCTATGTGGCATATGCACCAACCGATATTAATGCATAATATGTATTTTTTTTGTCTTACGGTCTACATAAGATTACATTCAAGCACTTGGGCTTGCAAATGAGAATGCCAACTAACAGGTCCAGTACAATCTCTTGATTTAGTTATATAGCTTGAATTAGCCCTATAGCTTTATTTAGCTATTCAGAATAGCTTGATTTAGCTATTTTAACTCATTTTTTTTCCTGAAATGTATTATTTTTTCAGCATGTACTAATAGTCGCACCTAGATGCAGTGATACTGTTCAACCTTAAACTGTTCTGTCTGAAAACAGTGCATGCAAAAATTGCTCATCAAATTGCGTCTCCTTGAGAGGCTTTGCAGGGACTTTCCACTACATTTTGGGAATGGGGCCTGGGCACTTCAGGCTTGGAATTGGGAATTTTAGCAACATTTATCACCATTTCGGAAATTATATACCAAGACAATTTTCAAGAAATAAACAGTGATGATGAATAAATTCAGAACTTTCAGTCAGAAAAAAAATAAATAAACATGTTGTCAGTCATCAATAGAACAAGGCTTTCCTTAACTTGTCATTCCATTGATTTTCAGCTCTTACCATAACAAGTACAGCACAATCTCTTGATTTAGCTATATAGCTTTATTAAGCTATTCAAGATAGCTTGATAAAACTATTTATATGCAGTTTTTCAGAAAAATGTTTTTTGTAAGAAATACACAAAAAATTGCAAGTATTTGACTATTCATATATGTATTATTGGCTATCAAAACAACAATGGAAATCAAAGATATTTCTAACATTGGAATACTTTTTTTTGCAAAAGATGTATTTCCATTGTTTAACTGTACACTACCTGTGTGCGTTGAGGTGTGGATAAGTATGATTGCTTCCCATTGTACTGAATTATTACCAATCAATTATCTTGACCATATTTGGTCTTCTTAAAATTTCATTGCAGAAGTTACTGTATGATCACAAATTTAAAATTGCCAACTGATATGATTTCTTGTGTTTCTACAGCTGAGTTTAAACTGAAATGTGAATTCAAGATCATTACTGATTAGGATCTGTTTTTCTCTCTCTCTCTCTCTTTTTTTTACCAACTTAAAAACTTAATTAAAAGCCATAACATTTGAGCTGTGGAAAATGTGGATTTTGATTTTATGGATGTGGTTTTCAGATTCAACTGCATGATCTGTTTGTGCCCACGGCTACAAATGGTGACTGGTTACTGCCAACACAGAATATGCACGCAGTGCTTGTATAATGAAGATGGTATCCGTAAACCTTGTCTAGATAATTGTCCTACATGCCAAATGGAGGATTCTTTCCCAGTCATGAGGTATACTGTTTTATCTTTTAGTTCTGAACAAGGATTCTTTCCCAGTCATGAGGTATACTGTTTTAACTTTTAGTTCTTAACAAGATATTGTGGGAATAAATTTCCTCATGTTTAGCTCTGCTGGTCAGAGACCAGAGATCAAAACGCTACTCTTCCCACAGTTTTGGTCTGATTGCAATAGACTTCACTTAAGATACATAATTGTGTATAATTTTTATGAATGGTGTTGCCATGGTTACTGAAAATAGATATTTCTGTATTTTTTTTTCAAAAGGCTATTCCTCCTACAGTTTAAATCTGATTTCAATCCTTGATTATTCACCTTACAACATTCCCAAATAGTGTGACCCCAACATGGATGTCAGAATGCAAATTTTCTAAAACTGACATTCAAAAGTCACATAGGGATGTTTTGGACAGTTGAAAGGTGAATAAAGTATCATGTTTAGGAAAAAGATAAATGATTAATTAACAGATGCCATGCTTTTGGCTGGGGAACACATATAATACAAGAAATAATATCTCCAAGGTGACAAAAAAGAGGTGCCGTTAATCAGGTTTTTACAATGCTTGGATCTGTAGCTTTCTTATTTGTCTGTCTGAATTTTTTCAACCAGAGAGCTACAGTTCTACAGCTAGATCTGACCTACATTTTCTGAATGAGTGACTAGGTTAAAGTTTTTGGAGCAGGTCCATTACCAAGAAGCTGTAAGACCTATCTGAACCAAACCTCCATGGATGATGCATCAAGTGATGAACACTTTCAAACTTGCTTCAGATGTTGGATTTGACTTACATTTTCTGGATAATAAGTAGTTTAAAAGTTAGAACAAATCCATTCTCATATAACTGCAAGCCCTATCAGACCAAAATTGCATAAACATTGCATCTATGGATGCACACTTCTAGATTATTAGTTTATATGTAGGATATTGCCTTACTTAAAGATAAAATTCATTGAGGTGAGGTCTGTAATCTTTGATTATCTATGTAATCCCATTTAAAATTTAGTAATAAATGACCATTTTTGCTGCCCCCCCCCCCCCTTTCATGAAACAACAAAAGTTGGGGGGGGGGATAAAAAAAAATGTTCCATTTTCCGTTGTTATAGTGTTATCCATTTCTTTGTTTACCCAAATAAGTTATGTTTTATGAAAATTGACATGAAAAATATCTAATAATGAAAAATTATTCAAATATGTTAACTTTTGAAATTTGACTTAGAGGTGGGCAGCAGAGCAACACTTTTGTTCTTACATGTAAACAAATGTGTGTTTCTTTTTCAAGTTAGTTTCAGGGCTTTTTCAGGAGCTTAAAATTGTCTTGGCACTTTTCTAATGAATTACTTTGTCACTTATTTGATTAACCTATATTTCAGACCAGCTATTCCAGAAGATACTGTAGAAATCCAGAGATGTTTGGGAGTCCGAGCATGTCCCCATTCTGGTTGTGTAATGGAGTTGTGGGAATGGGAATTGGAAGAACATTTAAAGTAAATCACTTTGCTGAATTTAGTATGAACAATTCTATAATTATAAAATGCAGAATATGAAATGAAATAGATTGGTTATGTAAAGAACTTGGGGGGGGGGGGGGGGTCACCTGATCCAAAGGCTAAAGTTTGGTTTTCTGATTGAAATTTGTGACTTCTGTATGCTGTCTCTTTTTAATTCTACTGATCAGAGACCAGAAGAGCTTATGCAATAGTAAGGTGTCTGTTGGTCTGTCTGAAAACAAATTTTCCAAAAAGCTACTCATACAGTTCAAATAAGACTGTATACTAGTACACTATACAAAGATACATAATTCTGTATATTGGTGTTTTATTTTGACAATGTTGACATTTACTAAAAATAGAAGCTTCTGTGAAATTTTTTAAAACACTACTCCTAATGTTTCAGTATAATTTCAATAAACTTGGTACACGAGTAGACTATACTAAGATACACCAAGTACACATTACACACCAGTAGAGCCATTGTTTTTAGCTCTTCTGACAGAAAGGCTCAAAGAGCTAATGATATGGCCATTTGTTCAGTGTGCGTAAACTTTTTAGCTCACCTGAGCCGAAGGCTCAAGTGAGCTTTTGTGATCGAAATTTGTCCGTTGTCTATCGTTGTTGTTGTCATCGTTGTCGTAAACTTTTCACAATTTCATCTTCTCCAGAACTACTGTGCCAATTTCAACCAAACTTATCACAGAGTATCTTTGGGTAAAGGGGATTCAAGTTTGTTCAAATGAAGGGCCATGCCCTCTTCCAAGGGGAGATAATTACAAATTAGTGAAAAATTAATGGCATCTTTTTAAAATCTACTTCTCAAGAAACACAGGGCCAGGAAAGATGAAACTCATGTGGAATTATCCTCAAGTAGTGTAGATTCAAGTTTGTTAAAAACATGACCCCCGGGGGTAGAGTGGGGCCACAATGGACATTCAAAGTTTACATAGGAATATATAGGTAAAATCTTCTCAAGAATAGCAAAGCATTATTGGTTATTTACTATTCAGAAGCATCCTAAGGTAGTGTAGATTCATGTTTGATAAAAATCATGAACCCCTGGGGATTGGGTGGGGCCACAATTGGTGATTAAAGTTATGCATAGGAATAAATAGGACATTTTTTAGGTCACCTGAGTCACTCAGGTGACCTATTGCTATCTGTTTTCGTCCGTCGTTGTGCGGGTGTGCGTCGTGAGTAAACTTTTCACATTTTCGACTTCTTCTCACGAACCACAGGGCCAATTTCCCCCAAACTTGCCACAAACTATCCTTAGGTGAAGATGATTCAAGTTTGTTCAAATGAAGGGCCATGCCTTCTTCCAAGGGGAGATAATTAAGAATTAGTGAAAAATTAATGGTATCTTTTTAAAATCTTCTTCTCAAGAACCACTGGACCAGGTAAGATGAAACATATGGAAACATCCTCAGGTAGTGTTGATTCAAGTTTGTTCAAATCATGCCCCCCGGGGGTAGGGTGGGGCTACAGTGAATGATCAAAGTTTTACATAGAAATATATAGGAAAAATATTTAAAAATCTTCTTCTCAAGAACAGCAAAGCCATGATTGGTCATATTTATATGGAAGCATCCTGATGTAGTGTAGATTCAAGTTTGTTCAAATCATGACCCCCGGGGGTAGGGCGGGGCCACAATAGACAATCAAAGTTTTGAATAGAAATATATAGGAAAAATCTTAAAAAAAATCTTTTCAAGAACACCAAAGCCATGATGAGTAATATTTATATGGAAGCATCCTGATGTAGTGTAGATTCATGTTTGTTCAAAACCTGACCGCAGGGGGTAGGGTGGGGCCACAACGGATGATCAAAGTTTACATAGAAATATATAGGAAAAATCTTTAAAAATCTTCTTCTCAAGAACAGCAAAGCCATGATGAGTAATATTTATATGGAAGCATCTTCAGGTAGTGTAGATTCAAGTTTGTTCAAATCCTGACCCCCTGAGGTAGGGTGGGGCCACAATGGATGATCAAAGTTTTACATAGAAATATATAGGAGAAATATTTAAAAATCTTCTTCTCAAGAACAGCAAAGCCATGATTGGTCATATTTATATGGAAGCATCCTGATGTAGTGTAGATTCAAGTTTGTTCAAATCATGACCCCCGGGGGTAGGACGGGGCCACAATAGACAATCAAAGTTTTGAATAGAAATATATAGGAAAAATCTTAAAAAATCTTCTTCTCAGGAACAGCAAAGCCATGATTGGTCATATTTATATGGAAGCATCCTCAGGTAGTTTAGATTCAAGTTTGTTCAAATCCTGACCCCCTGAGGTAGGGTGGGGCCCAAATGGGATATCGAAGTCTTACATAGGAATAATAGGAAAATTTCTTCTCAAGAACTGCAAAGCCATGATTAGTCATTTTGATATGATCAAATTTTTACATAGAAATATATAGAAAAAATCTTTAAAAATCTTCTTCTCCAGAACCACTGGGTCAAGAAAGATGAAACTTATCTGGAAATATCCTCAGGTAGTGTAGATTCAGCTTTGTTAAAACCATGATCCCAAGGGGAAGGGTTGGCCACAATGGACAATGAAAGTTTTACATTGAAATATGGAGGAAAATCTTGAAAAAAAATCTTTTCTCAAGAACAGCAAAGCCATGATTGGTTATATTTACATGGAAACATCCTCAGGTAGTATAGATTCAAGTTTGATCAAATCATGACTCTGGACTCTGTGGATAGGGTGGGGCCACAATGGACGATCAAAGATTTTTACGAAAGCTTCTTTTATCAGTTTATTTTATACTCTATGGATCTTCTTTGGATTGTTGTTTTATACTCAGGTGACCGTTAAGGCCCTTGGGCCTCTTGTTTAAAAATCTTCTTCTCAAGAACAGCAAAGCTATGATTGGTCATATTTATATGGAAGCATCCTCAGATAGTGTAGATTCAGATTTGTTCAAATCATTACCTCTGGGAGTAGGATGGGACCATAATGAAAGTTCAAACTTGTAGGGAAAAAAGTCACAGTTAGTCAAAGAAATATGTGAACATCTTTAGTTAGTGTAGATTCTATTTTGTTCAAATCAACCCCCCCCCCCCCTTTTAGGGATAGGTCAGGACAACTTATGCATTAAAGCTTTTCAATACTGAACTGATTTTTGCTTTTTTTCCTAGCCACAATGCTTAGGTGAGCGATGTGGCCCATTGGCCTCTTCTTAGAATATGGTTAATTTTTGTCAAATTTGTCACAGAGTATCCTGGGACCAAGGGCTCTTGTTTTACTTAAAACTAGGGATGTAACCTTTAAACAAGGGGAGATAATTTTGAAAATTAAAACAAAAGTACTGGTTGCTAAAAAAAAATGGTCATCTCAAGAACCACTGGGCAGATTATCACCAAACTTACACACAAGGATGAGGATATGTCGTAGATTAAAAATTTTCATGGCATCACCGTGGGGCAAAGGGTGTGGTCTCAAGGTCACTTCAAAGTTGACAAAAAATTATGTTTTGTTAAAACTTTGATATTTTGCTTACTATAAGGACTAGGATCATCAGATCTTGTCAGTTGATGCATCTTCGGACCTCATTTCATGTTGACTCAAAAGAAGGTCATGATGACCTACTTTTGAATTTTGCATGTATGCATTTTCAATTTGATTTTGATGCATATCATAAATTATTTTGAAGCCTATGATCATCAAGACTTGTCAGTTCATGCATTATGGGACTTTTAAGTGTGTCGATCAAAAAGTAGGTCACCATGACCTACTTTTTGAATTTTATTGTAAAGGCTAATTATTTTCAAAACATTTAAGGTTATTATTTTAGATACTGACAGCTTAAGAATCAAACCTTTTAAGTTGATGCATCTTGGGGCCTTAAAATATATTTATTAAAATGTAGGTCATGGTGACCTACTTTTTGAATTTTGTAGGCATTCATTTTCAAATTGTTTTAGAGGCATATTTTGGACACTTTGAGGCCTTTGATCATCAGACTTTATTCAGTTGATGCATCTTTGGTCCTTGGAGTATATCAACTGAAAAGTAGGTCACCATGACTTACTTTTAAAATTTTGTGGCTATATTTAAAAATTTTCAGATACTAATTGTCTTAGAATCATCAAACTTTGTCAGTTGGTGTTTCTTTGGTCCTTGGAGTTTGCAACTGAAAAGTAGCAGGGTTCTCATTAACGCAAGAATCTGCGTCCTAGACGCAGCAAAATTCCTTGGGACGCAAGGTTCTTAAAAACGATGCGTCCGCGGACTCGTGATCGGACGCGTCCTCGTTAGCGAGAAAATTCGGGAGATTTCGAAAACGGGGAATTTAGATGTTAGGATTTGTCAAAGAAATATTTAATCGAAACCTTCATGTAACTATCATAAAGTTTATCCAAGAAACAACTTTTCTTGTACTTATTTCACTTTTTTTAAACAGGGATTGATCATAAGATATTTCATGTTTATTAGTCCAGTCATAATAGTGTCGCATGCCAAACTTAAAAAAAAAAAACACTTTTGAATCTTGAGTGTTATCTACATGCAGAAACCATAATTACTGCTTGTATACACAATGGGGCTTGATTATCTCGTGAATTTCACCCAGTGCAGACGACCGACAGGATTAGTTACGCCTCATTGCACATGACACCTGTGATTGTACACAGTCAACTTTTGGGTACTAGTTGATTATGCAACAGTTAATTTTAGCTTTATAAACACCAAGTTATTTTTATGGCAATTGATTACGCGTGTATTTTAGAATATGGCTTGAATGCATTACCAGTTTATATACTTGAATATGTTAATATTGCGTAAACAAACTGATAAAATGATAAACATTTTTATTGATGTTTGGATGGAAGAATACTGCAATATTTTAGCAGAGACATATATATGTCTCTGATTTTAGTTGGGACTCAACATAATTTTTCTGGGACGCATCAAATTTAGCTGGGACGCAACCTTCTCAGAAATCTTGAGTCCTGGGACTCAAGTTAGCAAAATCCTAGTGAGAACCCTGAAGTAGGTCACTGGCCTATTTTTGGAAGTTTTTAAGGCAATATCTAAATATTTCAAGATCATAAAACTTTGTCATTTGATGCATTTTGGGGTCTTCGGAGTGGGTTTACCAAAAAGAAGTTACAATGACCTTCTTTTAAAATATTATAGCTTTATCTGAATATTTAAGATGATAAGGGGCTTCAAATCATCAAACTTTGTCAGTTAATGCATCTTGGGTCTGTCATGAATCCCCTAAAAGCGAAGGTGATAATGAAGAGAAAAGACAGATGAGCATTTTGGCTATTATGTTTCTTGTTTGTAATTCCTTATTTTTTGATCTGGATATTTAATCTGTATTTTAACAGATTGTGCCCAAATCGTCAACCATCACCTCCTAAACAAACATCAAAGAAGAGAAAGTCAGTGCGTAAATCTGAAGATGCCAGTAAAACTACACGATTGACACGCAGTAGCACATTTAACATAGGCTCTAGGCGGTCCCAAGATCATAGAGACATGAGACGCCAAACACGACGAAGTACACAGTATCAGACTTTGTATGATCAGTAACATTTCATTCTGCACTACTTTCAATGTACTGTTCATGGATGAGTGACAGGGAATAGTTATGAAATCTTCCTACTCATGGAGGAGAGTTTTTGTTTGAAGGGTTTGAAAATCTGTGATGAAACATATATTAAGCTTTTTCTCTTCCTGAAAACAAATCAGGGTTAGAAACTCCCTAAAATTACAACTCGCAAATAATTGCGAGTACCAAGAAAGTGAACTCGCAATTTTATAAGACTACTCGCAATTTTCATATAAAGTTAAATTTATATAAATTAAATACATGTAACTTAAGGAAAAAGTAAGTACTGTACAAAACACAAAATACAACTACAGTGTGACTTTTAGTTAAATTACTGATTAAAATCAAAAGCATTGTGTTCTGTCATATTATATAATTTTGTTACAGTTTCAATGCAAAAAAAATCAACTCGCAACATGTCCCTTGGCTGGGGGTGGGCACAGACACAACAGGGGGCCAAAGTTTTACATAGGAATATATAGGAAATATCTTTAAAAATTTTCTTCTCAAGAACAGCTTAGCCATTATTAGTCATATTAATTCAGAAGAATCCTCAGGTAGTGTAGATTCAATTTTGTTCAAATTTTGACCCCTGGGGGTCAAATTTTTACATAGGAATATACAGGAAATATCTTTAAAAAATATTCTTCTCAAGAACAACTCAGCCATTATTAGTCATAGTTTTACAGAAGCAACCCTAGGTATTGCAGAATCAAGTATCAATTAAGTTTGTTCAAATTATGGCCTAACCCTCCCCCCCCCACCCCCCTTGATTAGGGGGCACAACAGAGGGTCAAAGTTTTATATAAGAATTTATAGGAATCATCTTGAAAAAACCTACTGCTCAAGAAAAGCAAAGCCATGATTGGTCGTATTATTATAAAAGCATCCTCAGGTAGTGTTGAATCAAATTGGTTCAAATCTAGGATGGGGCCACAGTGATCAGAGTTTTACATAGGATTACATAGAAAAAAAATCTTAAAATTTTTTTTTGCTCAAGAACAGCAAAGCCATGATTAGTAATACTGATATGGAAGCAGGTAGTGTAAATTCAAGAATTCAAGTCCCCCCCCCCCCCCCCCCCCAAAAAAAAAAAAAAAAAAAAAAAAAAACCTTCAATACTGGACTGATTTCTGCTTTTTTTCAAGCCAATGATCTCAGGTGAGCGATATGGCCCATGTTTGGTATATCTTAAAAAATTGTTTTTATATAAATCTATGCTTAAAAAATGAGTCAACAACTTCATCAAATATGCATTCATTGGTGTTCAACAGTTGCTGCATTGACCAGGTTAAATCTGCATTGCAGGTGAATTACATTTTCATCAAACTTTCATTATTTACATTGCAAACATGGAAGCAAGATTTTTATGGGAAGTAAAATTTAAAGGTATAACAATCATTTATTGACCAAGTTTGATGCTGAATTTGCTTTGCTGAACCCTCAAACCAAATTGTTGTCTTCGGTCTGACAGCCTCAGGCAAACAGTTTGGTTCTTTGGTCCAACAAAATGCAAGCTGCATTGGAACCCAGTCAATAATTGTATAATGTTTATTATGTTTATTGGATTGTGGATAACTATAATGTTTAGCTCACCTGTTTGATCAATGCCTGTGACTCTGTATGTAACCATTATCAAACAAGTTGATATGTACTTGTAATACAAATGCCATACATTGTAAAATAGGTGTTTTTTGCACCTTAAAGTTGTGAATACAGCATGCAGTTTATCGCACCTTCATATTATATTACACATGGTTTAGATTCAACAGCCATATATTGTTACGAGTACATACCTGCAGAATTTTATGATATGGATAATTGAGGTGTTTTTTGTATTTTATTAGTTAAAAATATACATGTATGTAAAATTTTGCAACTAAATATATTTTTTTTATTTTACAGTTTCATTTACATGTATTTATCTATTTAATGTTATTTTGTTGAGTTTAAACAAAATTTATTCCTTCATATTTTGTAACTTTTATCACAAACCACTATTTTCACATTCTTCATGTAAAGTATACAATATATGCTTTATCATGTATCTAAATACATTGTCAGTATCTATGGGGATTTCCAGTCTGATGTGGGTTAAAATAATGCCTATAGGAGTTTTCCACATTTATTTTTATAAGGAACTCACTCGGACAATTCTAGTGACTAATTTATCTCATGATGCAATTAAGCCTGCATTTGAAAAACTGTAAGTGCCAAATTTTCAGTAAAAATTATTATAATTTTATATTTAGTAGTAGATGTGAGGATTTTTTTCTACTGTTTTGTAATATTTCATTATGACCTCCCTCGTTTAGATTTTGAACTTGGATTATGAAACAGTTACCTCCATTTGGAGACTATAGCTACATGTCAACATTTGGAAACACTTCAGGTGACTGGTTAATATGTTTGACTACATGTGTCTGTTTTCTGCTATCTGACTCTGAACATATTTAATGCTATGCTGTACAAATTCTATTTATGTCAATTTGATATCTGTAGGTAAATACTGGTAAGTATCACTTGTGTGTGTGTGAGTAAACTGCATTATGTAAATATTCTACATTGTTCTGGTGTTGACTGTTATTTGAATGACACAGTACTGTGTGTTGCCCATAAAAGAGATATTAAAACTACTGTTTTACTATCTGCATTACAGAAGTAATTTGTGCAGACATTTTTTTTTTAACAGAGGTCCAAAGTCTTTACTCTGAAAATGTTTTACTCTGAGAACTACATTTAGTCAATTTTTCATTTGTTAATCTACGCTGTATTGTTTTGTTGAAGAAATAAAAAAAAAAAAATTAAAAGATTTTGTCATTTTTAAATTTTGCTTACATAATATACTGTAGAAGTACTTTTTTGGTGTGATATTAATTTACACAATATAGTGAATATACATGTTCACAAATTTTCTGCAGAAATTTGACCCAGAGCAATTAAAAGTACATTTAATGCATGTAGTGGCAATCTAAGTTATCTGCGTAATTTTCTACCCGCAGATTGAACAAAAATTATGATTCCATAGAATTGTGACCCCCATGGAAAAAATAATTTACAGTATATTATTTCATGCCAAATGAATTTTTTTTAGGTCACCTGAGTGTACTCAGGTGACCTATTGCTATCTGTTTTCATCCGTCGGTGTGCGTGGTCCGTCGTGCGTTAACATTTGAACATTTTCAGCTTCTTCTCTGGAACCACTGAACCAATTTCAACCAAATTTGGCATATAGCATCTATGGGTGAAGAGAAGTAAAAATTATGGAGTTCATTACCCCTACCCCCCTGGGGCCTGAGGGGTGGGGCTAAAACCATCAAAATTAATGCAATCTTTAAAAATCTACTTCTTTACTCCTGGACATCAAGCAGTCAAACTGTTGACATGATTGTAATAAGCATTGAGCCCTCTACCAAAATTGTGAAATTTATGGTCCCAGGGTCAGTTGTTCTGGTGTTAGGGCGGGGCTCTGTTGAATATATAGTGAAAATGCATTATTTCTTTAAAAATCTTCTCGTCTGCTCCTGGGTATAAAGCCTATGAACTAAGTACATAGTTATGATGAGGAAAGGTGCCTCTTCTAAAATTATGAATTTCATGGCCCCTGGGTCGGGTTCTGGTGTTAGGGCGGGGCTCTAATGATTATATAGTGAAAATGCATTAATCTTTGAAAATCTTCTCTGCTCCTGGATATTTGATAGACTAAGTACATAGTTATGATGAGGAAAGATGTCTCTTCCAAAATTGTGATTTACATGACCCCAGGGTCAGGGTTCTGGTGTTAGGGTGGTGCTCTAATGATTATATAGTGAAAATGCATTAATTCTTTAAAAATCTTCTCCTCTGCTCCTGGGTATTAAGCAAACAAAAAAATATGCATAGTTATGATGAGGAAAGGTGCCTCTTCTAAAATTGTGAATATATACTGAAAATGCATTATTTCTTTAAAAATCTTCTTCTCTAATCCAGTGTAAACAAACTAAATGCATTGTTATGATGAGTAAGGGTGCCTTTTCTTATATTGTGAATTTCGTGGCCCATGGATCAGGGGTTATGGTGTTAGGGCGGGGCTCTAATGATTACATAGTAAAATTGAAATAATTCTTTGACATTCTCCTCCTTTTCTCCTGGGTATTAAGCCGATGAACTAAGAATATAGTACTGATGAGTAAGGGTGCCTCTTCCAAAATAGTGAAATTCATGGCCCCAAAGTCAGGGGTTCTGGCTTCGGGGCCACCAACGCTGAGATTTTCTCGAATCTGAGATTTCTCAGAAAATTTGAGTTTTTCTCACCGAACTGTGCCACCAATGAAATATTTTCTCAAACTCAGACTTATCTTTTGAGTTTTTTCTTAAATCTGAGATTTTTCTCAAATCTGAGATTTCTCTGAAACGTGTGTGCCACCAACTTTTTTTCCGACTCAGCTGAGAAAAAATCTGAGATTTCTCAGAAAATCTTGAGATTGGTACATAGTAGTCTCAAATAAAATCTCACAGAATTATTTTATGGTAAAATGTCGCAAATATTATGACAGTGCACACGTTAATCCATGAATACATGAAATTAACGCGCAAACACAGAGAACATGCTTATTTCTCCCAAAACAAGATCATACGTTTTTAAGAAAGGGGGGGGGGGTTCTTACGTACTTGTAAAAAATGTCATAATATTGTCCACGCATTGAAACAATGCACCTGAAACTATATCAAAAGAAAAAAAATAAGGAATAAAAGCAATATTCTTGTGACACGTTTTACATAACATACATGTATATCTTCATTCATGCAAGAATTATTTTCATTTATTAATTAAATTCATATTTTAGTGTGCTATTTATGGTTAGGCAAATTTATTAATTCACATTTTATATACATGTATATCAGAAAAGAAAATATGATTAGATAATATTAAATCTCCACGGCCTCTTCTTTGTTCTTTCTCCGGTAGTTATTTTTTACTTGTGCAATATACGTACCTATTCGTGTAAATTATACGCAAATATTAAAATTCTGTGTAAAAATATTGCTATGCTTTCAAAATAATTTATAAATCACCATTTATTAATCACTGATGATAGCAATCTGTCTAATTTGGGTCTTCACTAAATCTATAAAAATCTCAATTGAGAATAGGGAACCAGGAATTCTTTCCAGGGGGGGGGGGGGGG